CATATCAGAGAATGATGCAGTACTGGTTGTCATGGTGAATGTACAGATTGTAAGAACACATGCATATCAGAGAATGATGCAGGAATGGTTGTCATGGTGAATGTACAGATTGTAAGAACACATGCATATCAGAGAATGATGCAGTACTGGTTGTCATGGTGAATGTACAGATTGTTAAGAACACATGCATATCAGAGAATGATGCAGTACTGGTTGTCATGGTGAATGTACAGATTGTAAGAACACATGCATATCAGAGAATGATGCAGTAATGGTTGTCATGGTGATTGTACAAATTGAAAGAACACATGCATATCAAAGAATGATGCAGGAATACAAAGTAAAATCATTTTAATATATTGTTTTTAATTTGACACAACATTGCAGGCAATCCTAGCTGATGACATCACATTAATTTGTTTTTTATTTAATTCAAAGATAACCAACAAATGAAATGCCAAGTACCAGTCATCTTGATGTAAATTGTTACTTATTGTAACAAGGATGTGATGTGATGTTGTGATTTTTTTACATTCCCAGAGGACAAACAAAATGTTTTGTGTCTCCTTCAACTGGATGTCATGTTTCCAGGAAAGCACTGAGTGGGCAACCGCTCACAGAAGACCAACTCACAATTTCTCTGATAGTGGGTGAACATGCTAATCATTTCGCCACATATTTACATACACATATTTCATCAAATAAAATTACTAAAATTTGAAAATAGTTATATTTAAAATTGGAATGCCAATGACTGGTAACTAAATTTAACATAAAACAAACCTAGGGTTAAAATAAAACATAATAAAACAAATATATGGTACAATTATTTGAATGTTATGCCTAATAATTTTACCTGATTAATTACCTGATCAGAATGCAGACATAATTCTAACAATGGCATTAACAAATTATTTTGCATAGTTTCCATGGCAACCTCAATGTTATGCACTGCAGTGGTTGCCGCGTCAACAAGCTTAGCGTTAAACAAGTAATGTACATAAAGTGCAACAGTCAATTCAAACTGATGCATGATGGGTGATTCCTGTTGCATGCTGGGAGTGTAATTCTTTTTTGTCTTTTGTTTCTTGCGAGGTGACTCTCCTGAGTCAACAAGTTTTTCTATTTGTGGTAAATAATGCTGACTGAGTTCTATCGTCAACTGTTGCCAGATGTTGAGAGTAAGACCAGGTGGCAATGACTGGATACAAGCAGCAAATCTACAAAGGAAATCAAAGAAAGCTTAGAAAGAACTCCCATGTGCTGAGAGTATTGGAGACACATTAAATATAATTCGAAATTACATAGCTGAAAACTAATTATGCAAATCAGAAAATTAATATGACCAGATTTGAGTGTAAAACTAATGAGGTCTGCGCAATGTAACAGAAAATCTATGTCTCCAAGTTTAATTGAAATGTGATTAGAACCAAAAAATTATGAATTATTATGCTTATTAGGGAATTAATATGAACAGATTTTTACCCCAAACTAATTAGGTTTGTACATTGTCCTAGAGCATCTTTGTACTAAGTTTCATTGAAATGGAATAATTAGTACCGTGAAAACTCCAAAATTTCGACCCCTCTAAAATTCGAAC